TGATGGCGTAACACCAACACCTAACCAACATAAAACTACGTCAGCAGTCTCAGACAAAATGGCGTCATCTGAACATCTATTGGAAAAGCCATCCACTGTCACACCAGTGCAACAGTCAACCGGAAACAAAGTGGAAAATCACGTCAGCAATGACGCTAGCAACCACGTGCAACCATCGGGTGTGACGTCACCCCCGAAAGGTGTCCAGGTTAAGGTAGGTCCACCTTTGTATGTAGAAAACCCAAAAACAAATCCACAATCCAGTGCACAAACCAAAGTTAGCGGTCAGAAGCTGACACCTCTTATAGATAATTACCATAAAGAGTTGAAGCCAGATGGAAAAGTGAAACGATCAAATAGCTGGAAGAAATATTTCCTCAGTAAAAAGGCAAGGAAGAATGAAATTACCATCAAGTTACCAGAAATACCACCTTGTCCAGACATGAAAAACTATCATTGGCCTTGGAACTGTCTAGGTGGGTTACAGACTCAGATTTTGATGTTTCTAAACTAAACTAACTTTATTAATAGTTTTGTTTGTGGAAACACCACGTAAATTTATTACTGCAAAGCTTTCGATCCGTAAGCCCGGATCTTCATCAGTGCTAATAAGATGTTATTAATATTATATTATCAGCACTGATGAAGATCCGGGCTTACGGATCGAAAGCTTTGCAGTAATAATTTACGTGGTGTTTCCACAAACAAAACTATTATATGTTTTATCGCCATGGAAACATACAAAGAACTTATTAAACTAACTTTATTTACACTGGAAAGATCTGTCAGTTATTAAATGGTCTTCTTAGAGGTCCAGTAAAAGTTTTGCCTTGTTGATTCAGTGCTACTACAAGAGGAAACCAGAGTATTGTCGTTTGGAAACATTCCAAACATGAGACTGAAATTGCAATCAGGGAACTGTGTATCGGAGGAATTGAATGTCCAAGTTGAATAGTACGTGTAACGATAACTCACCTCTAATTCAGAAAGTTGCACACCAGCACCATTGACATGTGCTATCCAGACATTTTCTAGTACAAGAAATACAATTGAAATACTTAGAGTTGTGGCTTCATACAGTATGTAAGAGACATATCGTGTAATTTCTCTCCATTAGGTTTTATTATTCAGCTACTGTGCCAAGAGGCAAAACAAGAATAACATAGAGGGTTGGGGCCACAGGAAGTGTAAAACATAAACATAAATATCAAATATCAGTATGAGGAGCCTCTTTGTTAGTTTATGTGGATTTTTCCATCAGAGAGTCACAGTAAGGCCTATCAATATCCTGAAATAAGTACCCAAATACTCAAAGAATAAGTGATAACATTATAATTTTTCTCTGGGGACAACAGACCCTGCTCTTCCGCTCCCTCCTGCGCAATGCACTGCCCTGATATCAACACGATTTTACATTTGTTTAGACAAAGGCAATACAGTGAAGAAAGAATGCATTCAGAATTATCCCGGGACATTTTCATACCAAGGAGCAAGATTCCCCTACGAAGACTATGGACATTTATATGACTACAATGCGAACGAAAATGGAAATTATTATGATACAAAATAATGTAATCGTAAACATTGAACAAGTGATAAAAGATTTTGTAATAAATTGTGAAGAAATGAAAGAAATATTAGATTATAGACGGTTATAGTAGAGTAGGTGGGAAAATGGAAAGGAAACCAAAGTATTGGAGATTAGAGTTTATAGGAACATTCCTTCAACCTGTGACTGAGATGAAGTTATAATAAGTCACCAGGGGTGGAAAAAATAGGCGAGCACGCGAGCACTGCTCGCAGGAAATGTTAAACAGCTGCAGGAAATTCGTTTGAGTGAAGATTTGCTATTGACAATTTGAAGGAAACCTTAACACCCATACAATACAATACAATACAATACAATACAATACAATACAATACAATACAATACAAACAATAAACTTTATTTGAATTCGATTTTTAGATAGCCATACAATATGGGCCCACTATGGGCGCAACAACATATGGTTGGCAGACATTATTCCTTGAATTTAAAACCATGGGCAGCTATTGCCGGCTAGAACACTAAATGTTTATACACATGCAGAAAATTGGGCTGCAGGAAATTTTTATCTCCAGGTTGTACTCTCAGAAAGAAAACGATTTTTTCCTGCCGTGAAAGATACAAAGCATTGTACCGCCACAAAACTATAAAACATATCGAATTAGAAGTATTTTGAAATGATCTGAAGAGAAAACCAGTTTGTTTCGGAGTCATTCTGATATTCTGCATGAAATACGATAAGGTCTAGGTATGATTTATACCAGGTAAAATCTGACCAATAGAACTGAGTAATACTAAATTCGAGGGAAATTTAAAATTATTACTTATTCTGACTGTGACTACGATGTCAGGTCAGGGTAATTAATATTTTTTGTGGAGTCGAAGGTTGAGGAATAAAGTAATAAAATGGTCATTTCGAAACGATGTTTTGGGTTCTGGGTAGAGAGGCGATCATGAATCCATAAATGCGAGCTCGAATCTCGCACAAGACAACGATTTTTTCGTCATTCTCTGCAGCATAAATATGAAAATACTGTAAAAACACCCAGAAAAGAATACTCATATAGAAGGAGAAAGCGTCAACACACCAGAGCGGGCAGGTATACGGAACTAATGGATGATGGTTCGTACATGTCAGGAAGAGTCAAATTCAAGGACTTTTCAAGGACATTCAAGGCCATGTATCAGCAAATTCAAGGACTAAATACTGAAGAGAAGGCGTTAGAAATCAGCAAAATCTGACGTTGAATTGTTCAAAACGTAACTTTATAATGAGGTCAGATATGAACATGCAAAATCAGTTCAACAAAATGTCCGTCTTGAATGTCAAACAATTTCAGAAAATATCCAAAAACTAAAGCAAGAAGAATTCAAGGACATTCAAGCACTTCTTTACAAATTGAAGGACATTCAAGGCCTTGAATTTTTGTTTTCAAATTCAAGGACATTCAAGGACTTTCAAGTTTTGTACGAACCCTGCCATTGCCATAGCTGGAAAGAGCATCTTAAAATGAGTAAAATTACAACGTTTGAGCGCTGTGAAGTTCGCAAGTTCTGCATATATTTGCATTACGCGCGTGAAAAACAACAATTTTGGAGCCGAAAATAGTTATTTTTACCGCGCGTAATACAAATATATAATACAAAAATTTGCGAACTTCACAGGGCTATATTTTCTTCATTTTACAACATTTAGCAATCAAACTTTGCAGTTTTATACTCATTCTAAGATGCTCTTTCTAGTGGTGTTGGATGTCGTTCTTCTTGCCTTGATCAAAATTTAGGCTGTAGCTAGAATCACCCATTCAACTGGGGCGGGTTAAATTTTTCTTTGGATTAATCTTGGATCCAGATTAAGATACACGCCATCTTAGTTTGGATATAGAACATGAGTCAAGTGCTCAATGAGGCGATGAGAGCAACAGCCATGGAAAATCTGACAGGCTAGAGAACAGGTACTTGCTATAAACATATAAACATATCGAAACAAAGACTGCGCTCACGGTCAAAACTCAAGATGGCCATTTTGAAATTAACGCTTCTTTTTGCTGTGATTTTTGTCGCGCGAGGTGAAAATGCAAAAGGTAGGAGATGAATTGAAGTATTTCTTCCTCTTCATTCAAAAATTATCGTATCATTTCAACGGTGAAGACTTGTAAATCGATGACAATGATTTGTAACGGGTAGACTATTTAGCGCGAAATAAAATTTAGTGATATGCTGTGTTTACAAATTGTACGACATTTGTCGTGATCGAAAAGTGTTTTCTTATAAAACTATCAGTTCATTCCGTTGTTTAGATCTTGTTAGAATAAATTTCAAAAATTACCTGCAAAATATTTCTTAAGACTTCTGTTGTATACCAAGTCGCCTAAGATTAAAAATAGAATAATATTCAATAAATTTTCTCTTCCAAATCTATTACAGGCAGTGAGTTTTATAAACGTTTTATGACCAAGAGGGCGGCTCCTCCACCAGCTGGCGGGGCAAAAGGTAGGTGATAATGGGAATGATTAATAAATGAAGAAAGAAATGAAGGATGTAAGACCCAGTATAGGCGAGCAAGTTTTCTTTGACAAGTTTTCTTTGACAAGTTTTCTTTGACAACTTTTCCTTGACAAGTTTACATTCTCGTGTGTGCGGTCAGCAAGTTTTCTTTGACAAGTTTTCTTTGACAAGTTTCCCTTGACAAGTTTCCCTTGACAAGTTTACCATCTCGTGTGTACGGTTACCCAAGTTTTCCTTGACAAGTTTACCTTCTCGTGTGTACGGTTACCCAAGTTTTCCTTGACAAGTTTACCTTCTCGTGTGTACGGTTACCCAAGTTTTCCTTGACAAGTTTAGCTTGACAAGTTTACCTTCTCGTGTGTACGGTTACCCAAGTTTTCCCTGACAAGTTTAGCTTGACAAGTTTACCTTCTCCTGTGTACGGTTACCCAAGTTTTCCTTGACAAGTTTAGCTTGACAAGTTTACCTTCTCGTGTGTACGGTTACCCAAGTTTTCCCTGACAAGTTTAGCTTGACAAGTTTACCTTCTCGTGTGTACGGTTACCCAAGTTTTCCTTGACAAGTTTCCCTTGACAAGTTTACCTTCTCGTGTGTACGGTTACCCAAGTTTTCCCTGACAAGTTTAGCTTGACAAGTTTACCTTCTCGTGTGTACGGTTACCCAAATTTTCCTTGACAAGTTTAGCTTGGCCAGTTTCCCTTGACAAGTTTACTTTCTCGTGTGTACGGTCAACAAGTTTCCCTTGACAAGTTTAGTGGCTTGAGTGGACGAAATGTTGTTAAACATTTATCTCACATCATGGCCATGTCTTCTACATGGACACAGAGTTCTATAAACTGTCTTGTCCAAGCTGGCTAATACAGCTGGCTCATAATATTCACACTTGTAGCAGTAAATACATTGTGATTCTTCATTTCTTGTAGGCAAAGAAAGCTTCGTATTTCAATCACCACATGGCTTGGCGCATGGACATGGTCATGCTCACGGGTATGGTGGCTACGGGGGTTATGGGTTAGGGGGTTATGGGTACGGCGGTTTGGGCCCCTGGGGACATGGACATGGTTTTGGAAACCTGGGACACATCCATCCAGTTCCCGTCACCGGGGTTAAAGCCCTATCGGTAGCCTACGATCCGGTATCCGGGGTACCGTATGTATGCGACCCTAAAAAGAAGGCGGCCGCCGCAGGTGCTGCTAAACCCGCTCCAACTGGCAAGAGGAGTGATATCGAGAAAGATGAAGAGAAGAATATTGAGAAAGATGAAGAGAAGAAAGATGAGATTAAAGTCAAAATCCCAGACTACCCACCCTGCCCTGACCCAAAGAAGAGTTTCCCATGGAGTTGCATATGTAAGTAGACCGTTGCTCTTCTATCCATATTATTGACTATTGATTATATTGATTGTATATTGATTG